TATACATACACACCACATATACACACACCACATATACACACACCACATATATACACACCACATATACACACCACACATATACACACAACACATGCACATAGATGTATATCATAGACACACAGACCACACACACACACACCACATATAACATACCACATACATAGACACACATACCACACTCACAGAACACTGCACACTGCACACACACACACACACACACACACACACACACACTCACAGAACTTGAAACACTTATTGACATCGTTACGCTTAGCTTGAAGACACACTACAAACGTAGGTCTCTTATTTGGCCCCTTGACCAAGGATGTAGCAATGGACACGTCATTCAGTTGACTCTGTCCTAGCCCCGTATGCCTACTATCATACGGCGGCAAGCTGGGTGTGACAGTGGGCCTCACATTTGGAAACATATGGTTGAGGAAACTCTCAGGAATCGCACGGCACTGGTTCACTCTTCTCTGCGTGAGTGTGAGTGGGTGTTAGCTTGTGTGCACGCAGGCTGTGCAGGTGTGCGTGCCCTCGTGGGTGTGTGAAGACAAGAGGCTGACACTGAGTATCTTTCTCTATCACATCCTACCTCATCGTTTGAGACACGGTCTCTCGCAGACCTGGAACTAACTCAGTAAGCTACATTGACTGGCCAGCAAGACTTACTGTACTGCTTGGCTTTTTATGTGGGTGTCAGGGATCCAAACTCAAGGTCTTCATGCTTGTGTGACAAGGACTTTACCCACTGACTCATCTTTCCAACCTCTCAACCTTTTTGTTTTTAAAGATGTGTTTAAATTCACGTATCTATTAAAAAAATTGATACTTTTTTGTTTTCACTAATTACCGTACTCTTTCCACCAACAGTGCTGATCACAGAGACAGGGCTACAATGGATGATCTGCAGAGTTTGGCTGGTGTGCCTGCAGAGATTTTTAGACTGCCACTAGAGGAACAGACCATACAGGTAAGCAGACAAATGGCAGGCCTGAGGTGGAGGTGGGTTTGTCTGCAGAGGTGGCAGGGAGGGCTCCTGCGCACAGAAGCTAGGGAGAGGGATGGAGGAAGCCATGTCATCTCTCATCTTGTCTGATCAATGTTTAGAAAAGAAACCCTTCGAGGACAGAAGATGAAGCCCCGGGGGCCGCCTTGAAGCCCCTGGTGTTCCGAGTGGATGAGAGCACACCGGAGGTGGTACAGAGTGTCCTCCTGGAGCGCGGGTGGGACAAATTTGACGAGCAATGTCAGGATGTGGAAGACTGGAATCTGTATTGGAGGTCGTCCTCCTTCCGAATGGCTGAGTATGTCAATATCAAGCCCTGGCAGAGGCTCAACCATCACCCAGGGACGACCAACCTCACCAGGAAGGACTGCCTGGCCAAACACCTGGCGCACATGAGAAGGCTCTACGGTGAGTCGCTCTATGAGTTCACGCCCCTGACATTCATCATGCCCAATGACTATACCAAATTTGTGGCCAAGTACTTCAAGGAAAAGCAGGATTTGGGTGCCAAGCCAAGCTACTGGATCTGCAAACCGGCAGAGCTGTCTCGAGGGAGGGGGATAGTCATTTTCAGTGACATCCGAGACCTCATGTTCAAGGGCACATATGTAGTACAAAAGTACATCTGTAACCCCCTGCTCGTGGGCAGGTACAAGTGCGACCTTCGCATCTATGTCTGTGTCACTGGCTTCAAGCCTTTGACCATTTACATGTACCAGGAAGGGTTAGTGCGGTTTGCCACTGAGAAGTTTGATCTCAGTAATTTGGGAGACTATTATTCCCATTTGACCAACAGCAGCATCAACAAATTGGGGGTCTCGTACCAGAAGATCAAAGAGGTGGTGGGTCAAGGCTGCAAGTGGACTCTCAGCAGATTCTTTTCTTACCTTCGGAACTGGGATGTGGACGACCTATTGCTGAGGCAGAAGATCAACTACATGGTGATTCTCACCGTCCTGGCCATGGCTCCGTCTGTCCCCGCCACCTACAACTGCTTCGAGCTTTTTGGATTTGACATTCTTATTGATGACAACCTGAAGCCGTGGCTTTTGGAAGTCAATTACAGCCCTGCTTTGACCTTGGACTGTTCCACGGATGTCTCTGTCAAGAGAAGCCTTGTCCATGATGTTATTGAGCTGGTATACTTAAACGGCCTCAGAAGTGAGGAGAAGAAGTATGGGAGAGCTTCTCCGCGAAGTTCCGTGGTCTCCCTTGCCGGGAGCAGTCAGAGTGAGCCCTGTGCCGTCCCCGATTCCCCTTCCTACGCATCTCTCATACAGTTTACGACGGGCAGTAAAAGCAACCCACCTGTCCGGCATCTCTATCCCAAGCACACTCGAACCTCCCAGCTGAGAGAAATGATGAGCAGGCAGGAAAGACTCCTGACAAGAGAGGCAGCCAAAAGCAAGCCGAGGCACAAGCCTCGGCACTCGCCTCGCAAGATGCTCTCCCCGTATTCGTCTCAGCCGCAGCCCCACAAGATGAAGGGGCCCGCGGGAGTCCTCCCGGAAGCCGGAAGTGCACCAAACGACCACGCGGGCAACTTTGTTCTCATCTTCCCCTTCAATAAGGCTACTTTCGGAGCCTCCAGGAATGGGTTAAATGTCAAAAGAATAATTCAAGAGCTCCAGAAACTAATGAATAAATAACTCGTAAGTGGTAAAAGCTAAAATGGAGAAGTGAGGTGAATTTTTGAAAACTGAAGATTTCTGTAGCCAGGGGAGGTGATAGGGTCGAGGCCCTGACATGTGCCTTTAGCATACACATTGTTACTGGGTGCAGAGGCACAGCGGCTGCGCCAGGGTGGGAGATCAGACACTGGTCCCACTGCTACTGTCTCAAATGCCACCCGTTACTACAATCAAACCGTGTGTTCCTTGTAACATAAGGTATGTGTGTGTGTGTGTGTGTGGGGGGGAACAAGAAATAGACATTTTAAAGGGATTTTTTTAGGTAAAATAGTACAAAACTGCCAGGAATTATCTTTTATTTTTAACCAGCCACTGTTGGTTAAAATTATTTGGAAGGAGCTGGGGAGATACCCTAGTAGGTAAAGTACTTGCCATGACACCATGAAGACCCATGCCCGATTCCTCCCGGCACTCAAACAAGAAACCAGGTATGCTGACACACGCTTGGGATCCCAGCACTGGAAAGGCGTACCCAGGCAGATACCTGGGGCTCACTGGCTTGCCAGCAAAGCTGAATCGGTGAGCTCCAGCCAGTCTGAGAGATCCGGTCTCAGAAAACAAGGTGGTTTGATTTTGAGAAATAACATTTGAGGTTGATCTCTGGCTTCTACTGACATGAGTGTGTGCATACACACTGAGACACACACACACACACACACATGTGCGCACACACACACGTCATCAGCATAAAGTCATTTAGAGTGCAGTGGATTATAGAAAGCCAATTGTCTAGAGATGCTGGGTCCTAAGTCAGATCTCATGGAGCTAGCTACCCAGAGGGCCATTCATCAGCCACATTGAGAAGTGTCCTTCCTGGCTGCACTTGTCACCTGCTCCCGCCCAGCACCTGATGATGGAGCCTCTCACACTTAGGCAAGTTATGGTCCTGGCAGATGGAAAGGCTTCAGGTCCCAGACCTCCTCAGAACACCGTTAAGAGGGACGGCAGCCAGCCACGTGGCTGAGTGCACAGACCGCTGGGAAGCAAGTTGTCACCCATCTGTTACTGTGACAGAACACCTGATAAAAACAACTTAGTGAAGGGTTTATTGGGGCCAACCATCCAAGGGTACAGTCGGTTGTGGGGAGGCAGCAGGTGACTGGTCACACCATACTCACAGCCAGGAAGCAGTGAGAAACTCGGGTGGGGGTGGGGTGGAGGTCTTAGTACTCAGCACACTTCCTCTTTTTCATTCCATCTGAGACTCCAGGCCATGGGATAGTGTCTCCCACATTTAGGTGGGGGTCTTCCCACATCGATAAACCCAGTCTAGAAACTCATGCAGATGGACTCAGAGATTTGTCTCCTGAATTCTGTCCAGTTGACACAACATTAACCATCACACAGATAGTTCCCAGGGCTGGGGGGACATTGAGTGGGGTGGGGTCTGAGCAGGGAGGAGGTGTTCCTTTTGGGGTGATGGGAACACTCCAGAACAAGGTAGCTGTAACAACCACATGGCTTCATGAATGGTCCAAGAGTAATGCTTATGTGTATTTTATAACAACAACAACAACAACAAAACATTAGGTAATAGAATAAGGGGGGGTGGTCCCTGCTGATGCCTTTTTTCCCAGATATTTGTGGATAAATGTTCTTTTATGGGATCCTGGGATTCACACAGGTGCTTTCGAGACACTGCTGGAACCAAGACCTAGGAGGACTGTTATGTCTGTGGCTCACATTCCAGTCCCCCAAACAGCCCCACTCCACAAAGGCTGTAGCTCTGTCTGGCCAGGAGCCTGTTGCCATCACCACTGCCAGAGATACACAATAACTGTGCCCACTAGAGCCTCGGAAGGCAACCTGGCTGGCAGAGGGCCCAGGGAAACCTATACAACCAACAGGCATGTGGAACCCCACCGCACAGCAGGTGCTGAAGGGGATCTGGCTTGGCTCCAGGCTGTGTTGGCTGCAGTCTGTCTTGGGAACTATTCTGACACCACAGACAACTACTGAGAGACTGGTTTGTGTGCTTCTGGGACAGGCCCGAGGGCTCCATTCTCCCAGAGGCTCTGAAAGGACCTTGGTACTAGGCACTCAATATTCACTATTCTGAAAGGAGCTCAGCTCCAGCCCCTCAATGCTGTTCAGCAACAGAATTCCTACATAAAGAGCTGTGCAGAGTCTCATCACCCAGGGGACCCAGTGTGGGCTTGCTGAACTTGATCCCAGTTAGTTATGGCCTGAATTTGCCAGGAATACTCAGACATCCATCCCAAGTCCCTGGAAAGGCTTGTCAACTTCTGTTCCATAGATCTGCCAATGGCCTGAGATTTTAGACCCAACTCCTCTCTTAAGCTGAATAACAGTGCTGCTGGAGGACTGGAAGGAGGTAACCCTAGCAGTGTCTCTGTGACTTTTCCCTTCATCATCCTGGGACTCTTAGAATGTTTCTATAATTGGCTTCTCAGCCCTTCTCAATCAGCTGAAAGCAGGTATGTCAGCCCAGGAACCTCTTGAAACCACTTGGATACATGCCCATCCATGGCTCTGAAGCAACGTCTATCTCAGTATCATAGAATGGTCCTCATTTTAGTGCTAGCTCCATAGACCAAGGTCCTGAAGAGTGTTCAATGCACCCTGTGGCCAAACGGAACTTAGAGCCCTTGGTAATGGGTTTGCAAGCAGCAATCTCCACTATAGCCCCCAACAACAGTCATGTGGTCCAGACCCAACTGTGTGCCTGTGCAATTCCATCTTCTTAGACCTAATCCAAGACCAACTGGCTAAAACCAGTGTGTGAAGGCTCAAGGGAGACCATGGCTCCTCTGAAGGCAAAGTCTATGTAGATAGCAGGAAAAATCATGGGGTTAGGAAAGCAGCATGTGGAAGAGAGCACGGGAAAGTGACTGGGGACAGGTCAGTCCAGGTTGTCCCCTGAGACTTTTCAAACAAGGTCTGGGGTGAGAGACCGAGATGTATGACCCAAGGATGGAAGAGCTCTTTCTGTCGGCTCCTGAGTGCTGTCTGCCCACCCCCAACCCCAGGTTCAACCAACAGTAGGTTAAAAATATTTTTCAATTGTGTGAAAAAAAAAGAGAGAAAGCAGCATATGAATTAGAGACCAAATATTATAATAGAAACCATTGAAGAGAACCAGGCAGAAGTCCTGGAGCCAAGAAATGCATCCACAGGAAAAGTAACCAGGAGAACAGTTAGTAAGTCCTAAGATAAGGCCACTGGAATTATCCAGTTAGAAAAACCAAAAGGAAAAAGATGAAAGAGCAGTGGATGGAGTCGGGAACATGTGACCCATCACACATGACAGGCAGCTTATGGTAGCACCAGACGGAGAAGTGGAGGGGGCGTGGGGACTCATCAGCCTTCAAGGTGGGACACTCCGTGCTTCACTTCCCTGGTGTTGTGTCGGGATAGTCCACAGGAGCAGGGAGAGGGAGGGAGGGTTTCCTGTGGCTCAGTCTCAAGACATTTCGGTCGGTGGTGGCAGGGAAGTTATGGCACTGGCCATAGACGTGGGAGTGCCCATATAACCTGGGCTCCTCACAGCACAGCAAATCAGGAAGCAGAGAGAGCGCTGGACCAAAGGCAAGGCTGAACCTTCAAGGTCCAGCATCCAGGAATCCACTTTTTACCGACCTAGACTCACTCCTTAAACATTCCACAGCTACTCCCAGAGGTAGAGTGTTCAAACACAGGAACCCAGGGAGGGGGACAGCTCACATTCAGCAGGTATGTATATGTGCAGGTGCGTGTATGTGTACATACCCCCAAAACTCCAGAATCTGGAACGCATCAAGAAGAACATACTGCGTATAGGGCAGCTCCTGAGGTTCTCTCAGTAGGACTCTTGGCAGACACCATGCAAGCCAGAGGAGACATGTTCAAAGTGCTAAGAGCTAAATGCAGCAAGGACTCTGTTCATACACTCTTGGCAGATGAAAGCCGAGAGTTTCCACAGCACCAGATGTGGCATAGGAGCCAGCAGGGGGAGTGCTTTGAGAGGAAATGAGAGAAAGCTAAATGCTAACTGAACCATGAAGGTAAACACACACCCAGACTCAGAATACTCTGACGCTGAAAGGCTGGCAAGGCAATCGCTCAACTCTTCTGCGAATTTAGCAGCAGAGGGATTAGCATAACCAAAGCCATAGCTGTCTTTTTTACACACCAGGGGAAGCCTTTTTTGCTTTCGGTGGCCTCATGCTGTGCTCTGCACAGAACCCATCCAATACTCAATCTCCTTAAATCCCAGCTGGCCCAGGTTTCAGATGGTGACAGTAAGCTGGTGTTGCTGTGTAGAGGAGGGTGACCCTAGTGGAAGTACAGTTGAGCCAAGCTGAAAATCTTGAGTTCAAGAGACACCGTAAGCCATGGCTATATTGACATTAGAAATCATTCCATATTCCTGGGTCCTGACTTCCACATGGTGAGATCAAGGAAGGGGGATAAAAATTGTCAGCTCCCAAGGGTGGGGTTTCAGGTATCGTTGTGAGAGCTGTATCTGGCTCCAGGTACCATGAGGTTGGGGACAAGGCAGCAGCTTGAGAAGTTGCCAGGATTTCATCCTTTCCCCAACACAGTGTTCTCCAACTCGTTGTTGGCCACTGTGCTGTACTCATCCTGTCAGTAACTGGTGGAGGAGAGGCAAGGTCCTAACTCTGTCACAGCACTCATCGCCTCTGAGACAAGTCACCTTCCCATGGTTGACTCGGTGAGCATGCAGGAGTGGACAATGAGGACAACTGCACTCTGGAGGGTGGCACCCACAGCCATCTCCTTCTAGCTCCAGGCTCTCTGAATCAGTATTCAAGACCCTGGCCCCAGGGCCTACCTGTTGTTCCACCTTGGTGCTAAGCTGGTGTCCTCGGTAGTTTTTATGTCAACTTGACATGTGCTAGAATGATCTGAAAGGAGGGAACCTCAACTGAGAAAAAGATCTACTATCTACTAAAACAGGTACTATCCCTGGGCTGGTGGTTCTGGGTTCTGTAAGAAAGCAGGTCGGGCAAGCCATGGGGAGCAAGCCAGTAAGCAGCACCCCTCCATGGCCTCTGCATCAGCCCCTGCCTCCAGGTTCCTGCCCTGTTTGAAGTCCTGTCCTGACTTCCTTTGACGATGAATGGCAATCTGGAAGTAGAAGCCAAATAAACCCTTTCTTCCCCAAGTTGCTTTTTTGGTCATGGTATTTCATCACAGCAATGGAAACCTTAAGACAAATTGGTACCAGGATTGTGGGGTATTGCTGTGATAGACTGACCTTGCTTTGGGAAGGACTTTGGGACTTTGGGCTAGAAAAGCCATTGAACCCTGAAAGCTCAGTGCACTGTTCTGTAGGAGTTTGGAAGATAAGAACGGAGAACAAGACAATGGAGGCCTGGCTGTGGAGTTTTCGGAGGGAAGTTGAAAGAATCATTATTTTTGAATAGTGATTCTGTGGTTCTGGTTAGCTTGGGCTGGAGCATCAGCTGTGGTTAACAAGGTACCAGAACTACTAAAGTGAAACCTTTGATTTGTTAGGAGACTTGATGCTGGCTAGCTGGAGCTGAGAAATTAGTGGTGATTAAGAAGAGACCAGCTGGAAATTGAGGGGAAATCTGGGAAATGTTTCCTGAGAACCAGCACACAGAAGCTGTGTTCCAGAAGCAGCCAAGGTTGTACCTTGCACTGGCAGCTGAACTTGGTAGTGTTGACTCACCCAGGTGGTACTGGTTTTAAGGGCATGAAGGGGTCATGGAGAATAGCTGAGCATTGACACCGTGAACAAAGCCTAGGAGAGGCTATTGGTTAAGGTGCAGCCCGGCTGCAGCGGAAGACCCTAGCGTTTTGGAGATGCTAATATCATGGGGTGACCACCAAGAACAGTATCAGCCTTGGCATGGAGCCAGTTGGAGCTTAGAAGACAAGCTGTGTGTGCTGCAGAGGATGGAGCTGGGAGTGACCCAAGCCCGTTGAAGGATTTCAGAAAACTGTGAGTGAGTCCCAGTCATTGGATGCTGCGTTATTTATGCTGTTGGCTTTGCTTTGTTCAGATTGTGACTGTGCCCTGGTTCTTCCTTCTTGAAGTATGGAAAGATTTAACTTATTTTTGATTTTATGAGATCTTGTAGTTGAGAAACTAAATTTTAAGAGATTTTGGGTTTTAAAAGAGGCTAACTTTTTAAAAAAAAGTAACTGAATTTTAAAGTGTTTGAATTTGGAACTTTTAAAATTTGTAAACTGTTTTGTATTGTGATATCGATGTGAATCTGTGATCTTGGGGAGGAACAAGAAAGGAAATGTAACAGTGTTGTGTTTGTGTGTCAAGCTGACAAGGGGTCCACGGAGGTATGGGTGGGGGTTGGGGTAGGGATATGAGTCAAATAACCTGCAATTCAAGCCCACCCGTCTGGAACTCTGTAAAGTTCTGTTCTGTCCTCTGCAGCCTAAACAAGTCACCTTGCTTAGGCTTGGCCCAAGCTGGGTATGAAAGGTCCTGGCTCACACTGGGGACACTGGTGGCTGGCATGTGCAGTTGCAGAACTAGCTTTGTGATGGCAGAGGGCAGTCTGGACAGGGCTTTAGAACCTCAGGCCTTTGTGAACCTTGCTTCCAGCACCTCCTATCAATTTTCAAAATAATTTGAAGGCATCGTCAACTGCTTATAAACTGTGAATCCCATGCAGAGGTCGACAGTCCGAGATATCTGTGGTGCAACCATGGCTCACACAAGCGATGAGAATTTAACGGCTCACTTCGATGAGACAGATCCTGGCTGCAAAGACCCTGCCAAAGGCATGTAAGACTCTAGTGGACAGGACATAAGGAAACAGGGGCATTGTCTGCTCCAATACCGGGTACAGCAGCTGAATGACTGCACAGCCCAAGATGAGACCAGAGATAGAGGTTCTTTTCCATACCTTGCAGATCCTCTGCCACCAAAAAGGCAAGCACACCGAAAAGGCAAGCATGCTTGCCCGTTGGAAGTTCTTATCATTGACTCCAGAAGATGAACCAGGGCAAGGGCATGACAGGTGATGCCACAAGCCATTCCTCTCCACTGGGTACCACTGGGCACCACCAGCTAACACATAGTGAGTTCTTTTTGAATATACTCACCTTGTATTGGTTTGGAGGACACAGAGACAAAAAAACGAAAAATAAAATAAAACCAAAAAGACTCTACATTCTCAGAACTCATCAGTGCAGGGACTGGAAGGCATGGCCAAGGAGAACTGGGAACTGCCTATTGAGATCGGCTGCTGCCTAGTAGCTAGGGAGGAATCTCTTCTACAGCATAGCAGACTACTCCCACGAAATGAGATGGAAGCAGGCAGACTCACAGGAACAGGTAGGAGATGTGGTCCCCTATGTTTCTGTGTTTGTTTTTATCTGTGTTTTTACTCATGTCCTTGTTGATTGACAAATCATAATTATGTGAATTTATGGGATAGAATGCCACATGAGGTTCTGTCTAGACACTTCAGGATGGTTAAATCATGTCTATTCATACATCAGGCACCAGTGAAGATACATCCCCCTGGATCCCACTTATGAGGAGTCTAAAAGGGGGTAGAAGTAGATGCAGGCAGGCGTTGGACAAGCAAAGCATGGAGCTGGCTGTTGTTAATGGCTGCTCCCAGGAATTAGCTGTCAGTGGTTACGCTGCTTCCCTTGTACTCTCTGCTCCAGGGCCAGACTCTGACAGAAGGTACAGTCTGGACAAGGCCACGGAAGCCATGTCCAGGGCCTCATTTCTGGCTACTGCTTCTCTGACCCCTCTCCCAAGATGGTGGCTACATGGTCTCTTTCTTTACAATTTTTGGATGCCTCCTTACTCCTCGTGTATAGGGGATCTCCAGGACTGTCACGGGACTCTATTGATGTCAGTTGCTTTGTCTGTTTTGGTCAAAACTATATTTGGAAATTGGAGCCTACTGCCTGGCGTTGAGTCTGTTGGATGCACTACTTCCAGTCCAGGATGACAGTTCCTGTCTCATCTTTGACCCTGACCCTCCCTGAGGCATACTTGGTCTCCTGGCAGCCATTGCAGTACACAGTCTTGGTGGTGCCATCTGGGAATTCCCTCCGCTTGAACCTGGCTGTGTGGATTTCTTTCTGTCCGTTGCTGAACATGATGGTTTTGTCTCCATTCCTGTCGAATAGAGATACTTTGCTAAGTGGAACCATGCAGAAGCAAACCGTGTGAGTGTGGAGGAACTGGGAAAGATCAAAGCCATATGACCACCTAGATTCCCATGTCCCCCCTGGAGAAGGAAGTTGAGACTCTCCAGGGCAAGAGTAGGGAAAGCATTTGAGATTTAAAAGATAGGAGAAAGCCAGACTATCTTGGCATAGGAAGGTGGAGGGGGCAAGGGAGCTGAGACCTGAGCCCACAATCTGAGATGGGTGAGCAGAGTCAGCAAGACTACTCAGTTCAAGACAGAAACACAACAGAAAGAGTGCTGGGTACTATGCATTCTGCTGATACCACCAGCAGATCTATGGAAGCTCTGGTGTGGGGACCCTGAGTACACTGGAGGAGCTGGTAAGGGCAAGATCATGGAGGAAACATGCCCTGAACACACCACAGTTAGGGAATATTGGGAACATTTAAGGTGAGTTTATTAAGCTGTTGCCTAAGCTATTGGGCATATGACTGAAGGCCCCGTGGATCTTGCTGACTGCACACACCAGCACCGACACAGTGCCTTAGCACATTCTTGTTGTGGTTTCGATTCTTTGTGCTGCGATAGATTCGTGCTACTACAAACATGGCTTTGGAGAGGTGGACACTGAGGACTGCACTCAAGGTTGGACAGCTTCAGTCACCTACTGACTGCGTCTACAAACCTATGTTGACATGTCACCTAACACCAATGGCACACTTGAGAAATACAGGGTAAGATTATTCTGACGCCAAGCTAGATGACTACAGCATTAGCTGATGATGTAAACTGTGGGGTGACCTTTGTCCTTGAAGTCAATCACAGCACACTCTTGGGGGCATGTGACAGCCCCAAAATTCTATGTCTAACTAAGCTCATGTTCTCTATAAAGAGATTTGAACTGAGGTCACTAAAAAATTCTTGTAGGCACAATGGTGTCATATATTTTCTGGTGTCATGTTTTTATACTTATTGTTATGTGTGTAAGTGTCTGCCTGCATATATATCTGTGAACTACACGAGTGCCTGATGCCCAGGAAGGTCAGAGGAGGCCATTAGATTCCCCTGGAACTGGAGTTACAGATGGTTTCAAGCTGTCATGTGGGTGCTGGGGACTGAACCTGTGTCCTCTCTGAGAGCAACCAGTGCTCTTAACCATTGAGCTGTCTTTCTAGGCCCTGTCGCTATATTTATATGAATGCTTGAACTTGTGCAAACATGTAAATGACTACAGTTGTATTATAGAACACAAAGCCCAGGGTTGAAGTATGGGTTCACACCATCTGGTAGGATGCATTCGGGAGAGGCTGACCTTTTCACCGTCACAAATGTCCCATCGGGGAACACAGTCTCCTCACATCCATCCCTGAGCTGTTTCACTGTCCCATCAGGAAACACGGTTTCCTTGGAGCCATCTGGGTAGAATTTTTCTGCAGGACACATTTGTTTAAAGTACATGTCAAAATGAATACATTTGGAAGCCACCACGTCATATCTAAATGACCTGTGTTAAAATACTAACGCGAAAGAGATCATTTGTTAACCATACAAGCTTGTAGTCAGGATTGGTAGACATTGCACGCAATGCCTTGTTGATCCACTTTTGGGTGAGTAAGGCTCAGCTGTAATGTGGATGGTCTCTAGTGTGTGTAAGTGTGGATGGCCTCTAGTGTGTGTAAGTGTGGATGGCATCTAGTGTGTATAAGTGTGGATGGTCCCTAGTGTGTATAAGTGTGGATGGTCTCTAGTGTGTATAAGTGTGGATGGTCCCTAGT